GCTTTTTGGCAAAAGGCAGAGCTTTTCTACAGTGGCAGCTAACATTCCAAGGAGGAAAGCTTTTAATGAAGACAGTGATTTCTGAAAAATCATTTTTATTGTGTTTTTAGGGAATGAACAGTTTCAGTGACAGATAAGATTGGGCTTAGCTATGGCTCGTATCGGTTTGACTTAGAATGTCATTTTAATTCCTGTTATGAGAGTAGTGCAAACCCACAGGCACCTAGCTCAAATTACAACTGATTTATATTGAAATTGGGAATTAAAATAAAAAAACCAATCTAAATAGATAAACCGGTCTAAACAAAAGCAGTGCCCATACAGCAGGTTTAGATTTAAGTGTAGTAGTTTGCTAATGCTTGCTTGCCACAAAGCTTGCTTTCTTTTAACTAATATTCCATGTATATTTTTGGCTACTGGCAGGGAAGGAGAGCCACTTTCTCTGCCTTCTGCGTGGAAGGAAGTTCTTTTGGAGAAGCTGTTGAATCTGCTGAGGAATAGAGAGAGAAGTAACAGAATTTGCTATTTGACATGGCAGCTGGAAATCCAGCGTGTGTTAAAGGATTTTAGATACCTTTGAATAGATCTGATTTCATGATAGGAGTTAGCAAGAATCCTTCAACCTCAATTTGTGTATGCTCTGAAGAACTTTGCAGGCTTTAGACCATAGTCAAAATCTTCCTTATAAAATCTCAATTTTCAAACAGTGATTAAACTCACTCAGTGTTAAACTGGTTGAGGAACTTTAGATGAAGGTGTTCTGGTTCTGAATTGTTTCAGGGCCTTGTATGAAGAGAAGAGTTTGAGCTAGCAGGTTTCAACAGGAAAAAAGCAGTGGCATTTGTATGCAAATATGATTACTGCCTATCTAATTTAGGATTGAGTGGAGAGGCAGAAGTTGTTGCTGGTGTTGTTAGTCATGACAAAACATTTCACATAAGAGTAAGATGGAAACCTATTTCAGGTAGCATAAACAACTAGATTTTAAGAATCTTTTCCATCTTGGGCTTTGAAACTTTATCTCAGTCAAGTGGTGTAGCCACTGCCATTTCTGGTTGTCCTTCTATTACCCAGCACTGCACTTTTCACAGGCAGGTGCTGAGAACTAACTCTTATATAGCATTTTCTTTGTCAAAATCTGAGTCCTTTTTTCTGTGGCTTGTTCTCTCTGTCTTAAAAGAAGACACGGAGATGGTCCTACCTCAGCCTAATCAATATACTGCAGGATTTTTTAGCCACTTACCTTAGCTGTAGGAAATTAATCCGAATTCAGACAGTTGCCTCTCCAAGCATCTTGACCACCATTAAATTCTGCAGTATCTTATTTTTATTCTGCTGAAGTTTTTAGTTTGTTGTAATTACCTTTTCTCAGCAGTGAACAGGACAGGCCAGTTCTTGGGTGAGTTGCTCATATGGTTTGAGGCAGATGGAAATTTTTCTCCTAGCTCTGCTCGATCATGTGTATCCCAGACCAGGTAAGCAGTGACTATTACCCCAGCCAAGCAGATGTTGCTTCTGTGGCTCAGTGAAGTTGTTGCAGGAGGAGTGTGCCACCCAGAGAGAAGTCATCATTTAAAGCACATGGCCTGAAGGTATGAGTATCTGGGAGGATAGAGAACAGACTTTTAGTCCTTGCTTTGACCTGGCTGAGGGCTGGCAGTTAAGAGGTTCACTTCACATATTTCTGGCAGACATGTCCCTTTTCCTGGGGCTGCAGATGCTTGTTTGCTTGCTTGCTTTCTAAAGATGATCTGTGTATCTGTGAGGAGATTCACAGGGTAAATTCATACATTAATCCAGAGGTTCTCTTCCTGGCCTGTCATGTGGAAAAATGAATGTGTTGGGGCACAGTTTCTAGCTTCATCTCAGAATATCATTTTGACTTTATCTCAGAACTTCTGTGTTTCCAGCAGGCCATTTTCATGTTAGAGCTGCTCTCCTTTCGGCTAACTTCTTAGCCCAGTAATTTTGTCACTGTCCTGACTTAGGAGAAACGTGTTCATAGCTCACAGGTTTCTGGCTATTTGTGGAGCTGCTTCTTTCCTGCATAATGTTCTACTTTGCATTAGATCCTTACCCTGGAGGAGAGGCTTCCTGGCTTTTAGCCCACTTGTGAATGCAAGGGAACAAACTGCAGTTGCGTTACTGGAGACGTTAGTGGACATTTCTTAGTCTCTGCAGTGTCTTTGTTTTCTGCCTGTCTTGCTTTAGCCTGATAGTTACCATGTAGATCAACCGGAGCAGGAGGCTGTCAGGAAGTGGAATGGTTGCTTGTGCACTGTAGCAGTTTCAAAGGAGTGCAGACAACTGATGCTCCAGATTCTACTGTCCTACAGCCTGGAGCAAGGATTGGGTCCTTAAGGTCCCACATTTGCTGCGGATTGACCTAACCACTGAGCTATCACTTGTACAACTAACTTACTGCCTTTTCTATTAGATAATCCAAAGTGGAAACTACCACAGAAGGTAATTCTTTAGAGCTGGCGAGTCCCTATAAGCACAACTAGTGAATCTGTTATCATTTGCTGTGTAAAGAAGCCAAAGTTGGCCTGAAGCATTGTTCTTTTATGTAACAGAGGGGAAATGGCTCTGGTCCAGGTGATCCAGAAGCCTGAGGAGCCAGACCATTCCGTGATGTTGGCCTGATTAGCTGTAAATAATCCAGGGTCAACTGCCCTGTTCTGAGTCTTTGCCTTTTGCTGTTTTTTTGTTGAGGGGAGGGGGAAGGTTTTCTAGCTAGAAGGATATCTCCTGTATTTATGAATGGGACTACCTGTATTGTGAACTGGTTCTGGTGCATGCACGGAATGAAGCATGGATGGAGAGTGGGTTTATGGATGCTTGTACAGAAGAGTCTGGATAATTAACTCAGATATTAACTAGGAGCATTTAAATCCTTAAAGACATTTTATGTGGAAAATACAGGCATGCAGGAGAGGCATAGTTCGATGCTGACTTCTGTCAAAATTGCTTATCAGGAATTGAGGTGTAATTTTTGCATCTGACCTGGAATAATTTATTCAGTATCACAAAGACTTAAACCTAGTCTTCCTGCCAGGGTAACACCATCATCACTAGGCCATTATTACCAGCTCATCCATCTCCACTGACAAGCTGGTGTGCTACAGTTGAGGGCCCAGGTCAATTTGCTCTTTTGGTCCTGCAGGAACAAATGCCAGTTAGCAGTGGGGGGCAGGAGCGGACACCAACCCAAGTCACAGAGGGTATTCCAGGATAGCATGGTCACTCTTTCAGGTGCTCTCATGGGAGCATCCTAAGCCTTGCATATTAGTTAACCTTTCCCACAGTTGCTGTATGTGAAAGGTCTTTGATCTATGAATAAGCCCAACACATGGTGCTTGCTCACTGTATGTTAACAGCAGAGATGTTATTTTTGGCTCCTGAATTCTTTTTCTCCTTGACTATTAGAGCTGAAAGACCTTTCGTCCTTAAGACAGGCAGCTGTTCACTATATAGTGTGTTTGGGACAACGTGCTACATAAGGCTGACACCTCTACTGGAAACAATTTTTTTTGCAGAATGGGTAAGTGGCTTTTTAAATAGCCATTTAAAAATCTAAATAAACTAGTCGTGTTTAAGTTTTAAAAAGAACCGGTATCTTTGGAACATGTAATTTACAGAACTCACTGCAGTAATCCTTGGTTTAGAACAATTACTGCACTAAAGTACTTGCTTTTTTCCCTTTAAAAACCAAACCAAACCCCAAACCAAAAACCAGACAGGTTTCCAGCAAAGGCTGGGGTAAATGACTGGAATGGAAATGTAGCCAAGTCTTGCAAAATTCCAGTATACAATTGCTGTTCTCTTGGAGGTCTTTTCTCCTACCATCTGAGAATATTCCCTTGCCTGGTCACTTGTTTTGCTTTTTTTTCTAACATAATCACCAGTTGCTAGAAATAAATATTGCAAGAACTAATATGCTGGTTACATTCTTACAGTTGGGGTTGTATGCAGTACATGCTGGTTTGGGAGGAAGATAGTTTATAACATGAAATTTCTTATGCAACAGAGTTTAAGGGTCAGGTATAAACAATGTAATCACAAAGCTTCCCTGTGCTGTAACTCACCTATGTCATTTCTTGTAGCTCAAGCTTGACTCATTCCACTCTCACACCAAACAAGATTCAGGAGCTAGAATACAAGGTATGCTGATTCAATGTGCAGTTCATAATATTTGTTTTGCAGTGGCTCACAAGCCATTGGAGTAATTTATCTGTGGCTACACTGGGTTTTTTTTCTTCTGTTTAGTAGAGGTCAGGCAGCTGTGTTTGGTTTTAGAGCTGTTTGTCCCTGAACAAAATGGGAAAGGTGTCAGAGAAGTTGTTGGTAGCATTTGGGGCTTGAAAGACTCAAAGACCTGTGTTTTCAGTTTTGAAGCATGCAGAGGAGCTGCTTGCTACTGTAGGAATGTCTCATGTGCACCCCTGGCCGTTGGGCAGATCATGCCAACTCTCTGGATCTGACAGCATGAAAGCAGGCCCTCTGCAGCCAATTCTGCAGCCAGCTCCAGTCCCTGACTGCGTGAAAATTTATACAGCTATCAGAAATCTAACTAGGCTCATACCCCTTGTGTGGGCATGGACTGCATCCAGGAAGAAGGGAATCCGTATTCCTAATCATCAGCTTAGAACCACTGCTGCGTTCACTAAGATTTTAGTAGGAAACTGAAGATAGAGGGAGGGATCATAGACCCTGGTACTTCCACTTGGGCCAAATCTAACAGAAGCATAAGGGAGCACTAAGTCTGCCCATTCCTTTCTCCTGATATGAAAACAAGAGACTTCTGCTATTTTTAGGAAGAAAATGTCATCTACCAGAATGACTTGACTTCAGGTGAGCAAACAGCCTAACAGACACATTGCACTTCCTACAAGGGAAGACTGAGCCAAAAGTCTCCAGCTTGCTTGGCTTGCTTCTACCTTTGCGGGATGCCGGTGCAAGCCATTCTTAGCTGTGTTAAGCCAGGCAATTGACTTTAGTTTTATTACAAAGCTTTTATTAAAAAACAAATGCTCAGCACATTAACTCAAACTGGAATGACAAAAAAAAAAAAAAAAAAAAAAAAGGTTGACAGTATTTTTGGCAAAGGCTGTGCCTTACTATTTTAAAAAATGGGTACATCAATGCTCATTTCAACAACTGGCATAAAATCCCACTAACAGGCTAACAAAAACAGATACAAATACAGAACAATTGAAGTAATAATTCAAGTGCTGGGCTTTTTACAAGGAGAAGGGGAATGGGTGAGAAGGAGAACTCACTGCAGTCAGATTTGCTGGATGTATTGCTTATGTTTACAAAGTAGATGATGCAAGACTAACATGTCTACTGACCAGCTGACTGTTGTTACATTTATTTTAGTTCTATAGGACACTGTATTATATAGAGTGAGAGGCCACTATTTGTTACAAATAGTTTAACAAAAAGCCACCTTTTTTTCCATACAGTTTTTCCTCCGGCAGACAAGACAAAAAAAAAAAAAAAAAAAAGAAAAACTCCTTTTATTTAAAAAGTATTTCAGATTTCTGACACTTGTTTAAAAGCTCATACCTAGTAAAATATACACCAAAGAAATTACAAACTAAAAGTTAAAATATAAAAGCATTCAAGTTTCTTAAAAAAGCTAAAACCAAAATTGATCCTGTCGCACCATTAAATAAAAAGAAGGTTGAGTGTGTCATCCCGGTCCAGGCAAATTCCATTCCTCGATGTGCTGTATGGGGCAACTGTGGTCTACGTTACTCTGTTGGCTGAAGCAGGCAGAGACAGCCATGCTACTTTGTTTGCTGACTTGATATGGACACAGATGAGACGGGGCTTAAGAGTGCAAGGCAGAGGTGGAGTGAAGACAAAAGCTGCTCTGCTGACCAAGGAGCTCATTTGCTCTATTTATATCAGGGCTGGACCTTGTGATAGTGAAGGATTTTGGCAGTGATTGTCTTTATGATTCAGTGTCTCTAGCAGTGACATCAGGGTGAATGACATCCTAGACAGACTCCTTGGGGGTGGTCTGCGTGGATGAAGGACACACCTAGGGTTTAACAAGCTTCCATCTCCAGAAGGGGTCCTGGTGTCGCCGCCTTTGCTTTGCAAGTTGAGAAAGCATTTCTTTTCCCACCTACAGGGAAGCAGGGAGGGGAGAGAGAGAAAGGTAAAGAATATATGAAGTGGTTTTTCTTAAATCGCTCGAGTAAGCTGTAACTGTGTGACACAACTGTATTAGTAGTAGAATGTACGTCTGCAATGATGAAGTGCAGGGTATTGCTACTTGCTCTTGCTTGAAGTCTGCAAGAATATTCGTGTACTTTGGATTGCAAATAGATGTCCACACCAACTAGAAAGCTAGGGGTTTAAGCTGTTTAGACATTCAACGTATTACAGAAGAAATTCCCTTTTGTAGTGGAGTTAATTTATCTACAACATGTGACCCAGATACCTGTTACAAAACTAGACATCCTCAGGCTGTGATACTACAGTGGTTGAGGTCAATTAAATCTCTGCCTCAGAGCCTCAAGCTCTGCTCCCTGAGGAAATGCTCTCTTCTGTAAGCAGCTGTTTAGAGGAATGTGGTGAGTGAGGCTTGTGTGAATACTGACCCTAGCATGTGTCCACATGACGGGAGAGGATTCTTTCTGCTCTTCAGTGGGGTAGTGAACATCTCCCAGTTGTGTAAAAGCCATGGGTCTCTTACATAGCAGTAAAGTTCACTAGGATCTTGGGAGGATTTATGTTCTTATAGCATATGAAAAGGTCAACAGGGCAAGCCTTATAGGTGTTGCTCATCCAGAAAGGAACAGTTCTTCATCACTAGGTCTCTGGGTTACATCAGCTGACTTACACAATTGCTAACTCAACTGTCACCCCTGCCCTTCTGACACAGACAACTGGGTTATAACAGGGACTCCACCCAAGACTGTCTGATGAGTCAGGCGGTTTTCCACAGACGGACACATGCTCTCCAGTAATGGTCTTGGGATTATTGGTATCTCTGCGTTAACCTCTAGGCCTCCATGTACTACTCAGCTGCCAAACAAGTAGAGGGTTCAATGAGCAGAGCTTTTGTGAATGACCCAGATTAGCACAGGAACGTAGTGTGGTGGGGAAGGTGAGTGAGTTTACACTAGAAGAAACACAAAATGCTTAGTCACACAAAGACAGGCTGCCAGCACTTCAAATCACGCAAGGCAAGACAGAACAAGTTTATGAAGAAATGGTTTAAACCACGAGTCAAACTTCTGTTAGACGAATCATAATACATGGACTGCTTGAGCCTGTAAGAGCCACAAGCCAAATTAATCAGCAAATATCACAGCAGCAGTATTTAAACCTGGGCCATTTATAACTCGATACCCACCTCCCATCTGCTGCAGCTTCCATGCAAGCCATTACAATGCAGAGTGTAACCAGTGTACTGGTTGAGTACAGCTCTTGAATAGGAAGTTACAGAGGCTGATCTCCTCCAGGATAGAACATCTCCAAAACTGATTTTGGACCCTTTGATTTCAGTAAGCACAAGCTGAGGTCCCAGAATCTTGCTAAATAAGTTGACTGCTCATCAGAGGCCACCCATTGTTTTAGTGGAAAGCTAAGGACATTGAAGAAGTTTGGCTGCAGACTAAGTAAAGTGGAAGGGGCAAGTACAAATTTACACATACAGCTTTAATTTGAAGGACACTCTCCCCTGCCCCAAATACCACCATCCCTGATACATAATGAATAATTTTCACCTGCTGCTGGTAGCCACAGAAGGACATTTAAAGCTGCTGCGGCCTCTTAAACATCACAGCTGAAAGTCCACTGGCAAACCAGTGGTTTCAACAGAGGTGGTCTGTATTGACTAATTCAGTTCCCATTTCCTCATAAAACCAGCCCAAGTCCCAACTAAAAAAAGCCTTCTGAGTTTCCTGCCTTTTTTTTTTTCCCTTTCCATAAAGTAGCACAGTGCTCTGTAACACGTGTGGATCAAAGAGCTGTGACGGGCTCTACCTTTCCAAGGAGCACGAAAGAGAGGCCAAGCAAACAGCAGAGGAACACTGGGGAGAGCACCCTGCAGCTTTATATTTATTCTGTGCCTTTTCATCCCAGATTTTCAAAGGTTTGGTCCAGGTTGCTCTTCCTGGGAAGGTTTTCCTCTCAGTCTTACATGAAAACATTCAGCTTCCTGTTGAGGAATGGCCTTGAGGCGCCAGGCCAGTAGTTCACAGCAGTCTGATACAAGCGATGTGATTCAGAGCTACTCCCCATTAGCAGCCAGGAATGTCTACTTCACTGAAGGAAATGAAATGCTCTTCTGTTGAGATGGTTCCCTGCCTCCTCCCCCATTCCCTTACCAGCAAGCTGTCTTTGAAGTCAGGAGGTTAAAACAACGACCATGGCCTTGCTCTGGCCCTCAGCTTTTTCAAGCAGCAGCCATCACTTCTTTCTCAATCCAAAGGCAGCTTTTGCACTGCTTGCCTCCCTTCCATAGCCCTTCTCGGCACCTGATTATCCCCTGCTCCAATAGAAAGGCTGCAGATACTACTGGAATTCTGTGAGGGGACAGGCACAGTGAAGCCCCAGATACTTTTATTTCTAAGTGAATACTGCAGTACAGCAAATTACACAGTAGCTCTCCTGAAAACAGCATCTAGAACCCAGCCTTTCCCCAGCTGCACATTAAGGCTACACACTGGAAATTGCTTCTACTACTGATAAACCAAATAATACCTAAAAAATACAAATGATGATGGTGTTGCCTTACAGATATAAAACAGGTCAAATCAGGATTCTTTTCAAGAAACCACAGGCATGTGCTAAGGAGACTGAAGACTTCCCACATCTAAGGCTTCACTGGGGGGCTGTAGCTGAAGTCTGGCCAAGCAAGGCATGCCCTAGCAAAGCCCAATCCACAAGTGAAGTCGGCACAATCAAAGACTGCAATTACAGCTCCCTGGCTGTGGTTAGGCTTCAAAGAAAGTGCTGCAAGTCACATTTTACATATGTGAAGTCTTGAGTCTGAGCCACAATAGGAGGCACTGTCTGTGCCATTTGCAGTGTACATCTGACTGCAGGAGGAAAAGGGGGAGAAAAAGAAAAAAAGTCCACCTCGAGAAAGAAACAAATAAAATTCAACAATAATTCAGAGTAAAAAGAAAAGCCTTAATACTGAAGTGATAAAACTGTAGTTTGGGAATCACTACAGTAAAACACAAGCCTCCTAAGAAGTCTGGGCTCAATGGCTGAGGGCAGGAGCATCAGAGGGGGATCAGAAGTACTCCCCACACTTGGGAATGAGATGGATTGAAGGGTGGATCCGCAGGGGCCTTGTGCTCCTCCTCTAGTCCTTAACTCATCTTTTTTCTAGAACAAGGGAGAGGATTATGCAGCTTCATCCAGGTCGTGCTAATTGGAAGAAATTATGGAAGAAAGTCAAGAGCGTCTGGCTTGGTACAGTAGAAAGTACAGAGTAAAAGAGAGCGCTAATCCCTCAAAGAAAGCAAAAAAAAAGGCTACATATAATAATGGCAGTTATATGTATTTATTTTTTTAAAGTCAGTCTCCAAACCTGGCTTTTAATCCAGTACTTCAAACAAATGGCAAATTCGGGGACCTAGTAGCTGAAACTGTCATTTTCTTTTGAAGTCCATAACGAACATGTTCAACTTACTGCCAGGGTTTATCCAATACTCCAGAAACTTGGGTATGCAAAACCAGGTCATTATTTATCAGGAAAGTTCACACTGTTTGTGAAGCCCCTTTGTATTTTCTTTAGCAGCAGAGCTGGAGAGAGTTTCAGGCACAAGCAGATAGATGCCGGTGCTGCAGTCTGCTCTTCTTCCTGCCCAGCTGTGCCATGGTTTGTGGGGTTAGACTAAACCAGATCCTTGAAATGTCCTGGGCAAACAAAAACAAACACTCCACAACCTTTGTTGTTTCTAAACAAAAAACCACCTCCCAACAAAACCCCAGTCATTTTAGTAATCCGATTTGCTGCAGGGTCCAACAAGCACATGGATGGAGAGACCTACGGGAGACAGGAAAAAGTCCTCTCTGCAAGAGCTGGATACCAGCAGACAGCAGAGGAACCCTTTTAAAATGCCTTTGTTGCCAAAGAAATTACATAAAATTGTACCATAACGCTGTAACAGATAATGCCATGTTGAAGCCATGTCAGTAATAAGTTTTTCTTGGTCCCCCTGCCCTCCCTTGCTACTGTTAGCCTCAGCCCACTGCCAGTAACTGTGAATGGAGACTCAAGTAACAAATTACCCACTAGTGTTTTAGTAACTACCCCTGGAAATACCTCTCCACTGACTACACAAGAATCTGGATTCCTAGAGTCCTAAATGATAACCTCTCAGCTTGGCCTAAGCTTGATGCCTTACGTGAACAGCAGAAATCCCCCCTCCTCCATAAGGCACAGACCTCTTCCAGAGCAGGTTAGTGTTGGCATGGGAAACGCCCAGATCCCAGGTATTTTAGGGCTTCTGCTTTGTGCAGCTGAAGTCAATGATGCCAAAGCAGGTGTGGCTCTTATCAAAGGCCCTCACTGTAGGCAGCATGAAACTAGAAGCTCTGTATCACTGTGCTATAATCTTTAAAATGATCCTGCTGGGAGACCCAGGACATGTTTTTCCTGTTGTGGATGGGAGGGGAGAGAGGATCCATGTTTATAATAAAAAACAGATTACCTCTAGGCAGCCATCTCTAGCAGTTCCTTAAAGAGGAATAATATACTAAAAGTGATCTGCAAGGGTGGGAGAAAAGGCTTGTCCCCTTTTTGTATCTTCATGGCATATAATAAATATTCAGAAGGCTATTTTAAAAATTAGTTCTTCCATAGACTGAGAGCTGCTTAGAAAGATGCATCAGTTTTAGGGGCATTGAAATTGCTAATTCAGTTTTCACCTGCTACAACAGAAAAGACATGAGGTAGGAGTACAGTAGTAAGTGAAAATTCTTTCAAAAGAAAGAAATAACATATGTAAAATTTCCTTTGTAGATCATCTTTTCTGCCTCAGGTTAGTTAGAACTTACACGATACTTTGAAAGACAATCTCAACATTTAGATCTTCTAATATATGGAATAATTTAAATAGTTGCTTTCATGCAACGAAAGGTAACTCAGATGTAACCTGG